CAATCGACGTGTCATCAAATTATTATTAGCTATGACATAAAGTCAATGAGTTTGTTTTTTTTATTAGTTTGCACGCGGGCGAAGCCGCGGGTACTGCTAGTATATTATAATATTATAATTATTTCTCGCATTCGTCTTCACTTACTAACTGTTATAGTGAATAGTGTAATATCTCACGGGTCATACGTTTGCATTTTTAATATTAGATAAATATTATTTTATGAAGATACCTATATTATAGTTTTATATACTAAATATTATATTTATTTTTAAAGATGTTGTACGTATGTATAGTTTTCGAAGGACATATGAAGTCTGCGAACACGCACTTGACCCATTCGTATTAAAGGGAGGCCCATGCCAAGCAGTGGGACGTTAAAAAATGCTGAGTACACCTATGTATCCGTTGAGAAATTTTGCCACATATAATAATTTTGGACTTTACATATAATTTACACCCAAAAAAAATAATCTCCTGTAAAAGTTCTTAATGTGTACTATAAAGTTTCAAAACTACCAATTTACAGATTTATTTAATACATCTCCTGCCTCTTGGTAGATAAATAAATGATAAATGCACTGAAAGTTCTATATAAATTATTTGTACTATTCGAATTACTCACAACGTTTTGCTTTGTAGAACAACAATAATATTTACGATTTCACGTCGATTAAAATAAACTAACGTATTTATGTTATACTAATGTTATATTGCTGTTATACTTTTAGATGATCAATCATTTGCTATTCGCTTTTATGTTCTAAACTTTAAATAATTATTTTTTCAAAACACTTGTAATTTACTTCAAAAATACGTATTTATATAATCTATACATATAATAAAAATCTAACTGAATCCAATCTGTAAATTAAATATTTTCTGAAACATCTTATTGAAATAGTCATTATTATCGATACAGAGGTCGAATCTATACTTTTTAGAATTTTTGTCTGTCTGTCTTTTACCGCATCACGGAAAAACCAGGTTTCGTCCCTACTTACGTTTTAACGTTTAGTATAGATTTCTTAGATAGGAGATATTTTTCCGCAGTAAATAGTATCCTATATGTTGACCCGGATAGCCAGCTATCACCATACCAAATTTCATCAAAATCCCTCCAGTGGTTTTTCTGTGATGCGTTAACAGACAGACAAAAATTCTAAAAACTATAGATTCGGCCTCTGTATCGATAATAATACCTATTTCAATAAGATTTTCCAAAATAAAATATTTGATGTACAGATTCGGCTTAGTTATAATTTTATTATATGTATAGATTATTGGTTTTTGAAGATGCTTGAGTTAAATCGAGAAAAAAAACTACATATCTTAACTTAGGATATAAGTTATTTCTATCCGAATTCCGCTATCCAAATCCCAAGTTCAATATCAACTTCAATGTCCAGTGAGCCATTACAGTATGAAGAAAAAACTGTATTGAGTGAGTGATCACTCACATATTAAATATATTTTCGTATGATAATACTAGTGAATACAGAATTAATTTTAGAGATTTATAATACAGAGTGTGATAATCTTTTGCTGCTAATTGCCGAGTTTCATCAAATTTGTTCAGCGGTTTAAGCGTGAAAATGTAACAAGCAAACAGAGTTATTTTCACATTTATATTATTAGTAATAATTAAATATGGTTTTACGACTTGTTTGATGAGACAAATGTCAGTATTTTACGTACTTTAGTATGGCTATTTAAGGCTACCAAACCTAGTACTAAAGTAAAATTACATTTTTTTATAACTTTTGAAATAAACATCTTAGAACAATAAATATCTTAGAACGCTAGTTCAAAATAACTACAAGCAAAATACTCAAATTATAACATTTTCCCAGCAATATGCCATTTTTTCTTTTTAATATATAACGATTAGATTCTAACATCTCTATTTTATTACATTTAAATGTTGGAATACATCCAAATTCCTAAGGAAATACCTTCGTCTAAGCGAATCAAAATAAAATTTTAGAGATCATCTAGCTTTGTGATTTTGTAACAATTATGTTAGAAGTATTTGCTTTAAGAAAATTTCATTTATACATACATACATACTACATTTATTTTCATATACATATATATGCAAATATTTTATAGTTTCTAGCATGGACGAATTGTGGTTAATTCGTTCATGGTTTCTAGTATTATAATCTAGATTTGGCCGACGTCTCCGCTTTTAATGTTGCTTCGCTCCTAAAAGTCGTATTAATTTTGTAAATTAACTAGCGACTCACACTCGCTTCGTTCGGGTTCGTTCTTAGGTAAGTTTCAACGGTTAGTATGGAATAGATAGACTATATATTATGTGAAACTACGGGTCACCCTCGCTTCGCACGGGTTCGTCGCTAGGTACGTTTTAAATTGTTATTAGCCAGCGTTAGCCATAAAAAAAATTTTTCGTTAAGTTTTCTTATGTTTTAATACTTATTATTCTATTCCGGACTAGGAGAAATCCAAAAAATCAAATATCATAAAAATTGGTCCAGCCGTTCTTGAGTTATAAATAGTGTAACTAACACGACATTTTTTATTATAGATATACATGTATAGCCTATAGCCTTCCTTCTCTTTATTTTGATTACTAGTGACTCACCCTCGCTTCGCTCGGGTTCGTCCCTAGCATGATTCCCCATACAATAAATATTCATCCTCATTTTCACCCCCTTAAGTGATGATTTCCGGGATAAAATGTATTCTATGTCCTTCCCAGGATCTCAAACTATCTTCTAATCAAATTACATCTAAATCGGTTCAGAAGATCCAGAGATTACCCCCTACAACGTCACAAACTCACAAACTTTACCTCTTTATAATATTAGTACCTATAGCTTTAAAGAGCTTGAACAAGTCTTAAAAATTGAATTGGCTTCAATAACGAATTTTATGTAAAGGAGTGAATTTGTTTCTCTAGTATTAATGGTTACGAAACGACCTTAATGTTGGGTTTTCTTAAAACAGGCTTCTCATTTATATATTTTTTTATTACAATTTCAATTCAATTTTAGTATTCAGCCCTTTTTAACGTTGGCGGACTTCACATGTTTTTCGAAACTTGCTAGGCTCTTTCAGACATGCAGGTTTCCTCACGATGTTTTACTTCAGCGTAAATCAAGTCGTAATCTTGTGAAAATGATTCGCACATGAAAATATCAGAGGTGCGAGACCCGGGATTTGAACCCGCTTTACTTGATTTCCCAAGAGAGCCCGTTACTACTGGGTTACCACTGCTTCTCTTACGATATTAGTGTTATTAGCTATTGGTATACTCCTGTATCGCTTATGCTTTGAATTTTCCAATTCAAAAATATTATATTAAATATGATTTTCTAAGTAGAGGATCTCTAATGAGGTTAACATTTTTTTTTTAATTTTCGATCACCAATAATATTTATAGTTAAAACTATGTTTGAAATCGAATTAAATTATTTGTAAATTAAGTTTGTTGTAATTGACGATTACATAAAGAACCTTGTCAAAACAGGTTTATAGTTCATGAACATACTTCCAGCCAGTACTCGCTGGACTTTAATGCTCCTAATTATGTTATATATCTTTAACCTTCTAGGCGCTAGAAAAAACTAGAGAAAACTTGATTTTCGTTGTATATAAAGGAATTATATAATTATATGTATGTATTCAACCTTTTTTTAACGTCCCACTACTGGGCACGAGCCTCTCTTTAATACGAGGGGTATCAGGCCTTAGTCCACCACGCTGGCTAAGTGCGGGTTGGCGGACCTCATATATCTCTCCAAAACTTGCTAGGTTCTCTTATACATGCAGGTTTCCTCATTATGTTTTTCGTCACCGTAAAGCAATTGACACTCAAGTGAAAATGATTTGCACATGAAAATATCAGAGGTGTAAGACACACACAGGATTTGAACCCGCTTCACTCGGTTTCCCAAGCGAGCGCGTTACCACTGGGATACCACTGCTTTCGCTATAATTTTACACTAATATAATAAAAGAGATGGTGTTGCTAGATATGTTGTATAAGATAAACTCTGGTGTTATTGAAGTTATTCTAAAAATTTTATCACTAATATAAAGCTAAATTATATTCGATTTAAATAGTATACCTTTGACTGACATATATTTTCTTCCAATGGAAATAATTTATTTCTGTACATTAAGTGTTTCATATGGAAGGTGAACGCGCAGGGTGAACATGGTGTTATAATTTCTACTCGTTAGTACGTGTTCGTTAGTTTTTTCTTGTTTGCCATTTAATATTATATTGGAGTAGTATCTCTATGTAACTTTTACAATATACAATATTTCACCGGATCATGTAGTAAGAGTAGCTGGATCTCGGTTCATAAACAAAATGCAAATATATGATAGTTTAACGCTCCGATGCAAAGTAGAGGCAATATGAAATTATCTCATACATGTAAATCTGAATATTTTCCTTTTAAAACTACGGTATAATCTTGTATTTAATGTGTATCGTAATACTAGCCACTTATTCTGGCTTTGTGTATGTCAGTCCAGCATAGTATACTTTTGTACTAAATTTCATCAAAATTCTTCCAGTACACACACACAAACGCACATACATACACACTTTCGCATTTATAATATCACTAGCGACTCAACTTAGATTCGCTCGGGTTCGTACCTAGATACGTTTTAACGGTTGGTATGGAATAGAAAGTCGAGCCTTGTTATGTGAAAAACCAAAACAAATCTATTACATGGGAACTGTACATTTTTCCGGGATAAAAAATAACTTATTAAAGCGTATTTTGTTACCAGGATATGATATACTAGCTACTCTAGAAAAACAGAAACAAATCTATCCGACGAGAACTGTACATTTTCCCGGGATAAAGTTTCCATTCCAATTCAGACTATAATCTATCTCTATGCCAAATTTCATCCAGATCCGTTCAACCGCTGTGGCGTGATTGAGTAACAAACATCCATCCAAACTTTCGCAATTATAATAGTAGTAAGATAGAAATACGATTTTATTACTTACATCTCTAAATTGTGCAATACCCGCCTCTCCCAACTCGTACATAGACACGTATGCCGCTTCCGGCTGCACAAACAATTGGCATAGCACCATTTCTTCGCTCCTGAACATTGTGCTGGTTTGTTCCGGATCTGAATGGACAAAGACAAATATTTATAAATTTTTCGCCTTTTAACACATTTTTTGGGAGATGAGATAAAAAGTATATGGGTTTTAAATTCTGCTGTTTGCTATTGAAGAATTGTAAGTTTTATGGTCTGTACTCCATAATATATTGCTGATGTAACGAAATATTTACTATGTTTTTCACTTAAGTACTTTTATGCAATATTGTGAAAATATTAGAAAGTTAAAAAAGTAAGTGGAAAACATGATAATATCATAACAATATTGTTAGTGTCCAGAATATCTTATAGGTTTATAAGATGGTCAAGGAACATACGGAATACCGTATAGGAATAGGACCTATTATACTGTTATAGCAAACATATAAGCGTCAAAACGACAGCGATACCCGGAGAGTTCTTCAATCAGAGACTGATACGGATTTGCGGGATGCATATACCTATATGATGTTTATGAATAGATGTCACTAGTGGCTCACCTTCACTTTCCTTGGATTTACCTCTATAAAAACAAAAACAAATCTATCGCACTTGAACCGTACGTTTTTCCGGGTTAAAAAACCTATGTGCTATTCCAAACTATAATTCTATCTCTCTGCCAAATTTCATCTAGATCCGTTCAGCCTTTCTAGCGTGATTGAATAACAGACATTCAGACATGTAAACTTTCACATTTATAATATTAGTAAGACTAGTGACTACTATATATACTCGTACTATATACAGTTTTACAATAATGTATGGAAGGAAGTCTGCCCGATATGTTGACATTTATGATTACTGCTCCACTCCCTTGGGTATAACCTATAGCGTCCCTCAATAAACGGCCTATCTAATGCAAAAAGAATTTTTCAAATTCGATTAGTAGTTCCTAAGATTAGCGCGTTCAAACAAACAAACTCTGCCTTTTTATAATATTAAGTATAGGTTGTAATATGAAAACTGTCATATTATGATTAATATGACAAAAAAATAATATATAACGAAAGTCGTTGTTATACTTTACTTAAAATATTTTTAATTAAATTACTTTAATATATGGTATTAAATTAACATAACTAAATTCAGCTAATATTTGAACAGTGATTCAATCTCAATAAAAAAATCGAATTTACATTTGACATTTCTATGCCGTGAATGTTGAAAGTCAAGGTCATTGGTAGTTAATATTTTTTTTAATATTCATATTATTCACAAAACGTTTGTTTAAATATCATTAGACAAAACGATAAAAACAAGTTTTGTCTCAATTAAAATCAATTCGAGATTAAATATATTTTAACTAGAACAGATTCATAAAATAGAAATCGAATCCAGTAAAAATGATATCAAGCCTTTTTACTGTATATCTATTTTATAAAACTGACTAGAGCGCACCTTTAGGTAGAAGTTATCCTCGCAAAGGCTTATTTTTACGGAAAATTAAAAAAAAAACTGTCACCTACCAGGGCCTACGTACTCGTACATAACAATCCAGGTTATCAATCAAATCGAAATATACTTTATTCAAATAGACATTTATTATATATTTTTCTTAGCTCTTTTGAATCGTTAATTTTACATTTTAAATTTAAATTAAATGCCAGTGTAGTCAGTCCGTGAGGAATCTACTATCCCATTAATACATAAAAAAAACATTAAAATCAATCAAGACGTTATGGAGGAGAAGAATGACGAACACACGCACAGCGGAATTTTATATGTATATAAAGATACTTAATATTTTCTTAATATTTTTCTATACTGTGAATAAAGTTTGGTTTAAAATAACAAAGCATAATATATACAATGTTAAATTTACGTATAGTATTGAATATGAAGACTGAAGACTTATTGAGCAACAACGATCGGTTGGCCTAATTGGCACGACATCGTTGGTGAAGGATATATTAAAATATTTTTTCTCATCGAAATAAATCTTATTATACCTCATATATACTATATATATATATATTTGTATCTATGTAATAATATTTGGAACTCTTGGAACCAATTATTGAATCTTTTCTTTCTTTCACTAATATAACGCTACGATATCCCTGGGTACCATAGACTATTTTTATCATCGTACTACTAGACGGGCACACCTGCCAGCAAAAAATGATATCTTATAAATTTATAGTTTGATACGTTTTAACGGTTAATATAGATTTTTTAGAGATGAGATATTTTTCCCCAGTAAAAAGTATTCTATATGTTGACTCGGATATCCAGCTATTATCGTACCCAATTCTATGAAAATCAGTTCAGTGGCTTTCTCGTTACGCATTCCCAGACAGACGGACAGACATACAAAAATTCTAAAAACTATAAATTCGGCCTCTATATCAATAACAACGACTATTTAAATAAGATGTTCCAAAAAATAATTAATGCACAGATTTGACTGAGTAAGAATTTTATTACATTTTTATAATTGAAATCTCTATATTCAAAATAACAAATCGGTAAAGAGGTAGAGAAACGCGTTGCTCAGCTGACTGAATGCCAACTTTCGTAATAAATAAAACGTTGGTCGAAGCTCGGGGTTATAAATGGTACAAACTATTCATCTTTCAAAACAATAACAATACCGTGATATGCCTTAGATTGTAGAACCATCATCTGAAAATTTTGTACTGGTGTATATATGATGTAGAGATCTTAAACTAAAGAATTATATAGACGGAGTCCACCAAACTAAATATCGAAGTCAAATATAGTAGCGTGTTTTGCGACCAACTTATAAAATGTACACTTAGGGAAGTAAAAATTTTGTACAAATTCCATTATAATTACTTATATAACGATCTTAGTTGTGTAAAAGAGGTAATAAATATAAGTTTATGAACCATATAAAAATATACAAAAATAAAATCGCAACATCCTTATCGTTTTTAAACGTTATGAGCCGTTAAATGTTCATAATATAAAACAACAAAAAGCCCTCTTCTTGGTCCGCGCTATTGTGATGGGCAACTACGGAACCCTACATTGAGTGTGTCCCGACACGCACTAGAACGGTTTTTTTTATTTATTAACATTTATTACCTATCAATCAGTAAGAAATTGTTATTTGTATATGTATACATAGTATTTTAAATCATGATTGTTTGGCTTCATGTTTAGTTGACACTCTATTTTATTCCTTAGTCTGAGGTAGAGATATACCTACATAATTATGTTAAGATGCGGTATATCAAAAAAAATGTATTAGGGGCTCTACTTTGATAATAGATATTACGTTTGTACTCTATAAGCAACACCAGAGTTTAAAGAGGAGGACTATTTTATCTTTTCTCGATTTTAATGATTTCTTATTAAAAAATCAGCGTTAATCGACGTAAGATAGTTACAAGATACTGAATTTTCATATAATTAACTAGCAATACCCGCGGCTTCGCAAGCGTTCAAACTTCTGATATGAGCATCAGTATTATAATAATGTATGGAAGTCTACTCGATTTGTTGACATTTAGATTAGTGATCCGCTCCCTTGGGTAGTAGCATGTTAATATATAGCCTATAGCCTTTCTCAATAAACAGGCTATTTAATACAAAAATAATTTTTCAAATCGGATTAGTAGTACCCGAGATTAGCGCGTTCAAACAAACAAACAAACTCTGTCTCTTTATAATATTAAGTAAAGATGCACGTAACATTCCCTTCATCCTCCACAACATACATATATGTATATGTATATGGAAAATCTGGATTAAAAGTATAGTAGAAAACAGTAGAAAATTTTATAATACTATTTTTATAATAACAGTTCTTTGGAGTAAATAACAATAACATATATATGTTTTGGCTTGAAAGACGTGTCTACATGCTTGTCGTTCTTAGCATTGCATTCCAATAGCATCTGTTTTAGTTCTTGTATTTTAAGACATTTTCTATTTAATACTTGTTCATGACTGTATCATCATCATATTTGTTATATAAACAAGTGAGTTCGGGACTCGAGTGCTTCATTCAGGCCCTAGGTACGCTCCATGCGTGAACCTCTATAGTTTTTTGCATTATACTAATTTCCCACAAGAGCGGTTTGTTGTATTAATATGAAACGTAGTCATTTTCACTGAAGGATTACGTAGCTTTATATTTAGGGAAATTATTTTTTAAATCAAATTATTAGCAGTCAAAAAGGAACAAGTACTACTCAATTGGGTGGTATATTCGTATTACGCGATATCTTTACCAATTGTAAATCAATTTTCACAATTGAAATGTATGAATATGTCTATGTGTACATAGACATATATTCAAGGCAGTGGGAGCCCATTGGTAATGTTTTCTTGGGATATCAAGTGAAGCGGGTTCAAATCCCGGGTCACGCACCTCTAATATTCTCATGTGCGAATCATTTTCAAAATTATTACCATTTGCCTTACGGTGAAGGAACACATCGTGAGAAAACCTGCATATATGAGAGAACTTGGCAAGTTTTCGAAAGACATATGTAGTCGCCAACCAAGGGCTGGATAGACGTATCACTGGTACGTGTTAAACTTTCAATACAATAGAAGTACAATTGACTACTTCACAAAGTGAAATATATCTACAATATAAAGCCTAGAGTTTTTTTTTAATTCTTGGGTTTTTGGCCTACCATTAGTATAAATGCAAATGTATGTGTGCGTATGTTTGTTACTCCTTCACGACTAAAGAACTGGATGGGCTCGGATAAAATTTAGAATGCAGATAGATTGTGAACTGGGTAAGCCATAAGCTGTTTTTTGTACCTAGAGACGAAGCCGAAGGATGGGAGGGAGGTTTGTCGTTATTTAGTATATTATAAGGTCACTAATTTTATCATTAGCATAAAAACACTGATCAAGATTCGCGTCATGACAATATTTTGTCTGGGTTTTCTAAAAAGGTCAAATTTTGCATGACGTATTTTATGGATGGTCCATGACTTCAATTAGTTTAAATATACATATATATGAAATTTTTCACTTTGAAAGACATTTAACGTATTTGAATATACGGAATAATTTTTA